CGATACGTAGTTCACATCATTTTATAAAAATGATGTTGGTGCCGCTAGCATACGGTGGCTTTCGCCTATCACGCGAAAAAGGCTGCCATGGCCTCTCTCAGGTTTCTCTCTGCTTTAATCCAGTGGTTGACGTCAGTGGGAGCGGGCGCGTCTGGCAGTGCGAGCTACGAACCGTTGTGAACAGCAAAGAGGACAGACGGAGACAGCTTAAATTTGAAAGAGAGGGAAGAAAGGCGTACGCGATCCGCGAGGCGCGACGACACTAACGGCAGTGCAGTCGCATGGTTTGCACGGTTATAGTGGTTGCAGTTGTTGATGAACGTGAAAGACATAGTACGTGGTATACGGGCTCGATTCGTTGTTCGTCTCGGTTCCCGCATCCTTTATATGACATTACCAATATCAGTGATCCAGCAGCGGTGTTATATGCTTGACATCTTTGGCGTTAAATCACGTAACATCGAGAGAGAACGCGCAATATCAAACTCGGCAGTCGGCGCACTCTTCGCTTCGCATTCGCGTCGGGTGCGAGCAAAAAAGCCGTGAGTGGGTGTGGGAGGGAGGGAGAACGAAATGCGATAGAGGCGCGACGCTGTCCCGTTTGACCGCTAGACGGCCTACTCCGGCGCGGCGTATTCTCGGTCTCCTCAATTCGACAGGCTGTTAGGCTCACTCCTTTGATACTCAGTGTATTTCGTGCGCGCCATGTACTGCACCATTGCATTGCAGTTCTACCCTGCAAGATCGTCGTTGGGCGTAAAGCCGCGGTTCGATAAGCGTTCGCATAGCCGCCGTGCGTAGTCTGTTTGGCCAGGATCCCTCCCTCCTCCCTTTCTTTTCCTTCCCTTCCCTTCCCTTCCCTTCCCTTCCCTTCCCTTCCCTTCCCTTCCCTTCCCTTCCCTTCCGTTCCCTTCCGTTCCGTTCCGTTCCGTTCCGTTCCGTTCCGTTCCGTTCCGTTCCGTTCCGTTCCGTTCCGTTCCGTTCCGTTCCGTTCCGTTCCGTTCCGTTCCATTCCGTTTCGTTCCGTTCCCTTTCCTTTCCTTTCCTTTCCTTTCCTTTCCTTTCCACGAGCTATGCGCTGTTCTCGTCGGTGTTTCTCTCGATGCTCCTCGACACTCCTCGTGTCTCTAGTACTGGTGTAAACGGCGTAAAGCTGCGTTATTTCTTCGCTTTCCTTTCCCTGCCCTGTTCGTCTGGCTCGTAAGCGGCAAATAGAGAAAGGAGGTAAGGTTTCAAAGGGAAAAAAGAGAAAGAAAAAGGAGGTAATAAGCAGTCGTAGGAAAAAGGAACATAAAAACGACGAGTGTTGGAATCATCGGAACGGTATCCTCGGAGTGAGCTCCAACGAGCGAAAGAGGCACGAGAGGTGGCGTAGCAAGATGGCGCATAATTTGGCACCAAGCGTCAACTGCTCGCTCGACGACATTGATCTGAACGCTCTGAAGGTACGTTGTAGATGTGAAAATGATTCGCCGCCGGCTGTGTGCGTTTCTCCTTTTCTCCTCTTGTCTGTTCGCGTGACCCTTTTCTCTGTACCCACCTGGTTAATCATGAACCGTTCACACGCGCTGATTAACCTCGCGAGAACCGACGACGACGAGAAGGAGGAGGAACTGACATTCCTCGCACTTGAATCCTTCTCACTTTTTTCCCTCATTATGAGTTTCGCCTAATATCGAAAAAAGTCGAGCGATTCGATGCATTCACACACCTATTGTTGACAGCCGATCTTTCCAGTCCTGATGACAATGTATTATGGGCGATTGATGGTCGTGAATCACGGTTTCCATCGTAAACTCTTGCGCGAAAAAAATCTAAATGGGTCGAAAACGTTATTTATCGATCGTATTTTCACTCCGGCAACACTGTTGACAATCTGACAGATGTCACACGAGATTTAGGCCGGTATTCATAGTCTGTTCTTATTTTAAAACCGTCTTAAATAATGTCTTAAGATGCTAATACGGCCTTCTGATTGGCTTATGACATATTAAGACTACTTAAGACAACCTCAAATATAAGAATAGACTATGAATATCGGCCTTAGACTGGTGGTCAAAGTCTTGCTACAAATGCTTTGAAGCGTTTAATGGACCAATTAGAAGAAAATATTTTGCAAACTGATAGAATTAAAAAACGCTTTAAAGCGCCTTTAGCATCGCGTTGACCGTATCTCACTGCAAGCATAGACTTTTTACGTTTCTCCGTCCAATCATTTTTGAAAAAAAAGTCAAGTAAGTAGATACAGTACAAGGGAGATAATCGATCCGGAAATGTCATCTTTAAGAGTGCACGAGCAAAGAGCTAGGACATTTGTAACGCGTCAGATAAAAAACAAGCAAAAAAAGAAAGAAAAAAGTTGTCACTGAAAATACATCGATTAGTTTCCTTAAGTTTACACCAAAATGACTAAAATACCTTCTACCTCTCGCGATTTGCTGCGTTCTGTTTCTTGTATTTTTCGACGAAAGATTTATGCTATCTAACGTCACGATCAGCTTTTAAGATAGCTGATCATCATATATTTTGCTGTCGAATTTTATTATGTCAGGCCTCGTTTCGCGTCAGATTTTTGCATGCATACGAGTGTGTCCAAGTCCATCCAGCAATATTCAATAACTATTTTTTTTCTTTTTGTGGTACTTTGACTGAGCATATCGACTAGAGTTACACAAGTAGAGTTAGCTGAAGATAGCTTGAAGATGGCCGACCGTTAAAGTTGCATTAATAATATACGTATTGTTTTAATACCGAATTTTAATACTCTTTTATGAATGTCTTTTTTGATTTGAATTTTGAGAGAGGCCGTATGTATTGAATTAATACATATTTTATTATTGTCTTAACTATTTTTATTTGAGACACATAACTAATCATGTTACATTATTAAAAAACAAACGGCGTAGTTCATGCGAGAATAAAAAATTGCTCCTTACAGCTGCACTTTTCTTTTAACATCCAAGTTTTGTTTTTTATTTCTGCACTAGACTACATTAAAACTCTCTTTCTCGCTTTCGCTAAATATCAAATATATGTATATCTATATAACTTTAAGTTCCAAAAGTATTTATATCCACTATAATTGAACCATAGAAAACAGACCTCTACTTAATTTCATTCCAAGTGCAGAAAGGATAACACAAAACACAAAGCTAGTCTAACCGGAATCTGCTTGCACTGACGTTTTCTATTTATACCTATTTAATATCGATCCGTGGGTTTTGTCGTTCGACTAAGAGCTCGAAATGCGTTCTTTATTTTCCTCATATCGTCTACACAAATAATTTTTTGTCTCTTTCTTTTTACTCCGACTTTATTTTATTTTTACTCATTCTATTTCGAGGAGTTGAGCAAGTTTTTATTTGCTCTTTCGTGGACGATAATCGGGGGAGAAATTTTCATCAGATCGACATTGTCCCTCTTTAATGACGAAAAGGAGCGTTTTACATCTCGAGGATTAATTAATCGGTTGTTTATGTGTTTCAGGAACCTGCTGGGATCTTTGAGCTGATAGAAGTCGTTGGCAATGGAACGTATGGTCAAGTTTACAAAGTGAGTATTTCGTTCTGCAATTTGCATCAAGTTTGATGTTACATCGAGACAGCTGTGCGATATTTTTAATATTATTTCTCATATGTTTAATCGTACAACTATTCCTTCTTTGCATATATGTATACATGTCTCAATAACTATTATACCACTTGAAATATCTTCTAATTTATAAGATGTAAAGAAAAATTTATATAATCAAAATTACATGGTGTAAAGGAGGCTATCATATGGTGATAATAATTTTTGTCCAGGTGGAGGTGCTTCGAAGATTTCAAGGTAAACTTCGTTTTTTTAAATGGAATTATATGAATTTTTTTACATAATATGATTTCTAATTATTCTGCATAGAAAAGTATTAAGATAATGGTACCGACAAATCAATAGTTTACGAGATATTTTACACCTTATTCTGGCATATATTGATATAAAATGTTAAATAATTTGTAAACTATTAATTTTTTGATAATTGTACCTTAATACTTTTATATGCAGAATAATTAGAGAAATCATATTATGTAAAAAAATTCATATAATTCAATTTAAAAAAACGAAGTTGACCTTGAAATCTTTGAAGCGCTTCCATTTGGAGAAAAATTATTATCAACATATGATAGCCCCCTTTACACCATGTAATTTTGGTTAATAAATTTTTCTCCACACTTTATAGATTAGAAGATATTTCGGATGGTAATAGTTATTGAGACACCCTGTATAAATTATTTGCAATATATTACAATTCTCTATCAATTCGTGATATTACGATTTTATCTTTAAATTAGATTTGTATTTTAAGGTCAACAAATAACGAAATTGTGTTACAACTTTACAAGGTTTCCGTTTCTCAATATTTTAATGGTAATTATGTATATGTTTTTACTTGTTAAAAAAGAACCTAAGGTTAGATTTCATCAGCTACAGTTTTTGAGAATTCGAAATTCGTTTTTATTTTTGAAAAAACTATAATTTTTAACCATTTACTTCTTTCTTTAACTTTATAAGTAAAATACACAATAAGAACCAAACAGGAACCTTGTAAATTAGTGTAATTTACAGCTATAATATACAAGGGTCGTTTGAAAAGTTTTGAGCTTCAACATGAAGATGGCATTATATACTTGTCAAAACCATTCTGTTACTACAATCATACATGCTTTGAAAGATATCTGTGAAAATTGTAGCCATTGTGGACGCTCAGTTGTTGTTTGACAGTTATTTGTGCCATATCGACGTCAGTTTTTTGTAAAAATGGAGAAAATCGAATATCGACGATCGCCATAACAGAAATTTATGAATTGCGGTTTGAATTAATTAACTATCCACCGTATTCACCAGACCTGATCCCCAATGACTTTTTCCTGCTTCCTAGGTTCAAAGTTAGGCTCGGAGGACACAGATTTTCATCAAACGAAAACACTGACACAAATGACTTTCAAACAACAACTGAGCGTCCAAAATGGCTACAATTTTTACAGGTATCTTGCAACATGTACGATTGTAGTACCAGAATAGGTCTCGATAAGTAATGCCATTTTCATGTTGAGGATCAAAACTTTTTAAACGTTATATGTTCTTCGTATAAGATTTTATTCCGACCGACAGGAAATTAAATACTAAGTATAAGCATATTTGGGCCTATGACGGTCAAAGCTAGATCTTTTTGCCTAAATAATTCTCAGTGAATTATCTATATCCTATATATGTACATGCATATACAGGGTGTTAATTAAGTATGTTCCAAAACTCAACAGAGCGATTCTTTGGTTTATTTCAAGTAAAAAAGTCCATATAAATATGTGTCCTAAACGGCTTAGTTTCCGAAATAAAAAATTTTAAACGTGTAGTAATAATCTGTTTATTTGAAAGAAATACAACTTGAACTAGTCAAAAACAGAAAAACAAAAACAGGCTTCAGTTCTTCTGACCAAATAAAACAATTAGATGAATTGTTGAAAATGTCCACCTTGCGCCATGATACATCCATCGAGCCTTCTTCTCAAAGATTGACGTACACGCTCAAAGATACCAGGTGTGTTACGTATTGCCTCGCATGAAGCAACTATTCGATTCCTCAAATCATTCTCATTCTCAATTGGGGTGGGCATATCTGCCAAAATTTGTAAACTTAGGCATGATGAAATCGATTTTAATGGATTGAAACAATTTGGCCTGAAAACGTATGTACAAGCTAACTGACCCGCAGCAACATCAGGACTGAAGTCTATTTTTGATTTTGTGATTTTGACTTTGACTTTGTCACTTTGTTTACGGTTGTGCGAATAGTAACTCACATGAAGCAAGGCATATTTATGCAGGAAGATATCTCCAACGCAATTTATCGTTTCGTCAAACATTTGCGAACATTCACCTGTATTTCGAAAATTAAGTTGTTTAGGACACATGTTTATATGGACTTTTTTACTTGAAATAAACCAAAGAATCGCTCTGTTGAGTTTGAGAACATACTTAACTAACACCCTGTATATCATATTTTGTAATTATTCAAACTGCGCGCCGAAATTTTTCCGGACTTTATCTAACGCAATTAAACTACTGCAATAATATCACAAGTTAAATTAAATTGACAATCTGCTGAAAACCTTAAATAAATTTATTGCGAAAAATATTACCTTGGCCGGGACTTGAATCCTGATCTCTTGTATTCCGTACGAGCGTCCTAAGCCATTAGACCACCGAGGACACTTATACTTGTATGCCGAATATGTTTATACTTAGTATTTAATGTCCCTCGTATGTTACATATACAGGGTGGTTCACATAAAGTGTTACAAGCTAATAACTCTAAAAATATTTGTTCTATCAAAAAGTTGTTCATGAGAAAGTTTCATATATTCGAGGGACCTTTTTCTAACTTCGTAAACAAAAATTCATCCCCGTCTCCCCTTGAAGAGGGGCGGGGGGTAACTTTAAAGTTTCAAATGAGACCTCCTGTAAAATGTTACATATTTGGATTCTACGTAGAAAAATAAGTAAACTTTGTCTGAAACATTTCTTTGGAAAATGCTCTTATCGAAAGTTATAAACATTTAAACTTTAATGTAGAGTACATTGAAATTAATGATAAATTAAATAAGACTCGAAGTTTTTCTGTTTTTTAATTTTATTAAATATTCGAACTGTTGACCATTAACATCTAAACACTTATTAATTCTTTTTACAAAACTTTGCCTAACTGTAAATAACATTTTTGGATTCATCTTAGTGCAAGTTGTACGCATTTTTCGTTTTAAGTCTTCTTTCATCATAAATGGTTGAGATGTGACTTCCTCTTTGATAAACCCCCATAAAAGATAGTCCAAAGGTGTAACATCAGGTAAACGAGGGGGCCATTGAACAGGACCTTCCCGACCTATCCATCTGAGTTCTGGGTAACTCTACAAGAGTTCTAACAATTATCTTTAATAATTGAGGCGCTACCCTTATGGAAAGAGACACTGAAAATTTCGAAAAAACACTGAAAATTAAGTGTTAACACTCAACTTTGAGTATTAACACCTGAAAATTAGGTGTTAACACTCAAAGTTGAGTGTTAACACTTAATTTTCAGTGTTTTTTTGAAATTTTCAGTGTTTCTTTCCGTAAGGGTAGAACCAAAATTGAAAGAGTTATCATTATTTTTCATGTTGAAAAACCGAATGTTTAAAAATTTTTCATAAAAAAAATGTTTTTTATTATTTTCCTTAGAGTTCTGGTTAGCGATACAAGAGTTCTATCAAATAGATATAGATAAAAAGGCATACACCAAGGCATATACTATTTTATCTATATCGTTTTACATTATCACCACGGTTTAAACCTATATTCTATCAAATAGTATAGTGACTTTTTTCGCTCTGTCTTGAAATATAAAAGTTACATCTAATTTTCGTTTCTCAAAAATGTGAAGTTGGCACCCCAAACTTTCAAATCACGTTTTTTGCATTTAATCGTCAGAACTCTTTCCAAAACCTATCAGACTCTAGAACTCTTTGGGGAAGGGCCAGAACTCTATTAAATAAATCGAAATTTTGACTCTGGGGTACCGGCTTCACAAAGGTAAAAATGCCATATGCGATTTTCGAATATTATCACGTTCTAAAAATAATTGCGCTGCACGTCGATAATTTTTCTCACATTCTCCCAGAATTAACAACATAATAACTTCCACGTCAAAACGAGCCATGATTTTCGAATTTGATAGCATGAAAATCAGTTCAAAACTAACTAAATACATAGTAAATCTGTATTTACATTTCCCGATAAATGTATGTATTTATGTTTCTTTTGGTTCAAAACATCAAGGTCGTTTTCGTTTTCATTGTATCGTGAACACAACTTTGTGTCAATAGAGTTCAATCATGAATAAAATGGCTAAAAGTTTAAATGTTCATAACTTTTGATAGGAACATTTTTCAAAGAAATATTTTAGACAAAGTTTACTTGTTTTTCCCCATAGAATCCAAATATGTAATATTTTACAGGGAGTCCCATTTGAAACTTCCTCATGAACAACTTTTTGATAGGACAAATATTTTTAGAGTTATTAGCTTGTAACACTTTACGTGGGCCACCCTGTATATTACATATAACACAAATTTACATTATTACTACGAAATTCAAAGCAAAGTTACTAAAAATTAAAGAGTGATGGAATTTTTTGAAAATATTCTTTTTTATAGTGTAGAAAGCACTATATCCATTACTTGTTGAGAAACAGAAAGTTAATCATTTATTGCACGCGGTGTAATTGGCGGATAATTTGCATGAATTGAAATATATGTATTGTACGCCAGAAATATTATCGAGTTCCGAAATCCACTTTGAATAATAAGGCTCTTCTGGCTTAACTGTGTTATTTCTTTTTTTGTAATGTGTAATGTTTACCAGCTTGAATGCGCGATTCATCATTTATCGATTTCACGGTGCCGTAACGACCTTTTCTGTAATATTTTAAATTAACGAGTATGCGTCAAACCAACGGAAAATAAAAAATGACGTGCGATATTTTCGCGAAAAGGATACAACGCATCTGAGATTTCTGTGTACGAA